TTTTAGATGAAAAAGATGGCTTTTGGCAAGTTAAATTAACAGATAAATCATCCTATTTAACAACATTCAATACCCCATGGGGAAGAAAACGATTCTTAAGAATGCCTTTTGGCATATCATCAGCTAGTGAAGTAATGCAGAGACGTAATGAGCAGACTTTTGGTGATATTAATGGTGTTTTCGTCATAGCTGATGACATGGTTATAGCAGGTGAAAATGAGAAAGAACATGATGCTATTCTACGTAAAGTGATGGAGAGAGCTCGTGAGAAGAACATTAAATTCAACAAAGATAAAATTCAGTATAAAGTTAGTGAAGTCAAGTATATGGGTAATCTAATAACATCCCAAGGTTTAAAACCTGACAAAACCAAAGTTCAAGCCATTGTTGAAATGCCCAAGGCAGAAGACAAGAAAGCTTTACAAAGAACTTGGGATGATCAAGTATTTATCTCAATATATACCAAATGAATCTGAAATAACAGCTCCACTACGTTCTTTATTAAGACAAGATGTTGAATGGTCATGGCAACCAGAACATGACAACGCTTTTCAACAGTTAAAAGACATTTTGACAGCTGAACCTGTTTTACAATTCTATGATGTAAACAAACCTGTTAAAATTCAAGCAGATGCTTCAAAAGAAGGTCTAGGAGCATGTCTTCTACAGAATGGTAGACCTATCGCATATGCATCGAGATCTCTTACTACTAGTGAGAAGAATTATGCCCAAATTGAGAAGGAGATGCTCGCTCTTCAATTTGCAACAACCAAATTTCACCAGTATATTTATGGTAAAGATGTTGAGGCGGAAACGGATCACAAACCTCTAACATCAATCATAAAGAAGCCTATAGCAGACACATCACCACGACTTCAACGTATGTTAATCAAATTAATTATAACGGTATAGAATCAGCTTGAATTATGTACCTGGGAAATATTTATATGTTGCTGACACATTGTCTAGAGCATACCTTACAAACATATCTGATGAAACTACAGACGACATGGAAGTAAAAGTAATGGTTTACAGTTTAATAGAAGATTTTCCTGTAAGCGCTATTCAAATACAAGATATCAAAACTGAGACGCAGAATGACCCAGTACTTCAGTCTTTACGTCAACTGATTAAATATGGGTTGCCAGACTGTAAATCCAGCACTCCACTCAAGACCAGAGCATATTGGCATTGTCGTGATGAAATCTATGAAGCTGAAGGATTAGTATTCCGTGATAAGTATCATCATTCCTTCATCTTTGATTCCTAATATGTTAAAACTAATACATGAAAGTCATCTAGGAGCAGAAAAGTCCAAGAATCGTGCAAGATCAATTATGTATTTTCCTGGAATGTCATCTGAAATAGAAGATATTATTGGTAAATGTCCTACGTGTTTAGAATTCAGAAACAGCAAACCCAAAGAGCCGCTGATTCCACATACAATACCAGAACGACCTTGGCAGAAATTAGCTAGTGACATTATGACATTCAAAGGTTATGATTATCTTGTTATTGTGGACTTTTACTCAAAATATCCTGAATAAGTTTTCCTAAGAAAAGACAAAACAGTTGGTAATGTAATCAATCACATGAAAGCTATGTTCGCACATATGATAATTTCGAATTCAAGACTTTTGCCAAAGAATGGGGTATTAAGTGTACTACATCAAGTCCAAGATTCCCTCAATCAAATGGCATGAATGAACGTTATGTGCAGACATTAAAACGCATGTTGAAGAAAGCAGATCGTGAAGGAAAAGACATTCACATAGCACTTTTAGAATACAGAAATTCTCCAGTAGTAGGAATGTCTTACTCGCCAGCTCAACTACTGATGAGTCGAACTTTACGAACTAAGCTTCCAACCACCAATCAACTGTTGAAACCTAAAGTGGTTAATCCTTACAACGAATTACATGACAGACAACAACGACAGAAACACTATTTTGACAGAGGAAGCAGAGAGGCAGAAAGTTTAAAAGCAGGCGATGTTGTTCGCATACCAGGAGTGATATCCAGAAAACCAGTTTGACAAAGCTAAAAATTGAACGCGTTTTCAAGAACAAGGGCAATAATTTATACTAAATATTTTTCGATTCTTCTTATTTTCAATAGGATTCATCCTTGGGTGATTACGAACACTCATACCAAGTTTTGTCAAAATCCGTCAAGAATCGTGTCTTGTGGAGTGTTTACGAGCAATTGTGGACGGACCGACGGACATGGGTGACGACAATATACGCCCCCCATTTCATGCCGCCGTATAAAAAGATAGCTTGCCAGGCAAGGTAATATACGCCCACTGATAGCTTTGTTTGAAATTGAATATTTGTTAGAAAATAGCAAACATAGACACCAGGAAATATTCAACTTATACCCAAATCCATCACAAACTGTGCCATCACAAGTTAAAAATCAAACACATTTGTAAGAATAACGGCAATAACTATATTTCAAAAGGTTTAGTTTTGATTGTGATCAATTTCATCAAGTTTTCAAATTTGTTTTAGACTTCTGCTTTGGAGAATAAAAATTACGTCTTTTACAAGATTTTTGATCAGATTTATCCTTGGGTGATTTCAATAAGTCTGTCATGAATTGTGTATTTGCAGATTATATTCCTATAGTAGCCTACTTATCCAGCAACTCAATTCAATCTTCCAAGAAACAAAACCTTTCCCCTATGACCCATGTTTAATTTCATTTTTGTATCAGCACAATTGGTGAAAATGAAATGATTAAGCAAACCTTTTCTCTTGAATGACATTTATAAAATGAAATCAGATAAACTGCTGCATCTTGGGATGTCACATGACTAAGCTATGATTGGATATCTGTCTTGGATTTTCCACTTGGTCTATTTATAGTATCTTATGATGCTGTACATGTATGGTGGCTGGTTAGGGACATGTTAAATGATTAAATTAAATTTTCTTATTTGTTAACCAAAATAGTTTCTCAGGAAAATAATGACATCTAATGTCAATTGTGATTATGAACAAAAAAATTGTGACTTGTAGAGTCTGTCAAAAATTGTGCCTCCTAGAGTGTTTACGAGCTAAAAATTGAACGCGTTTTCAAGAACAAGGGCAATAATTCATACTACATATTTTTCGATTTCCCTGATTTTTCTATAGGGTTTATCCTTGGGTGAATACGAACACTCATACCAAGTTTCGTTAAAATCCATCAAGAATTGTGCCTTCTAGAGTGTTTACGAGCTAAAAATTGAACACGTTTTCAATGACCAGGGCAATAATTCATACTAAATATTTTTTGATTTCGCTGATTTTCAATAGGGTTTATCCTTGGGTGATTACGAACTCTCATACCAAGTTTCGTTAAAATCTTTCAAGAATTGTGCCTTCTAGAGTGTTTATGGGCTAAAAATTGAATGCGTTTTCAAGAACAAGGGCAATAATTCATACTAAATATTTTTCGATTTAGCTGATTTTCAATAGGGTTTATCCTTGGGTGATTACGAACACTCACACCAAGTTTCGTTAAAATCCTTCAAGAATTATACCTTCTAGAGTGTTTACGAGCTAAAAATTGAACGCGTTTTCAAGAACAAGGGCAATAATTCATACTTAATATTTTTCGATTTCGCTGATTTTCAATAGGGTCTATCCTTGGGTGATAACAAACACTCATACCAAGTTTCGTCAAAATCTGTCAAGAATTGTGCCTTCTAGAGTGTTTACGAGCTAAAAATTGAACGCGTTTGCAAGAACAAGGGCAATAATTCATACTAAATATTTTTCGATTTCGCTGATTTTCAATAGGGTTTATCCTTGGGTGATTACAAACACTCATACCAAGTTTCGTCAAAATCTGTCAAGAATTGTGCCTTCTAGAGTGTTTACGAGCTAAAAATTAACAAGGGCAATAATTCATGCTAAATATTTTTCGATTTCGCTGATTTTCAATAGGGTTTATCCTTGGGTGATTGTGAAGTTTGTTGAAACTTGGTATTAACTCGGCTGTTTCAAAACTGTGAGTGTCATCATAAAATAAAGACATTCCCCTGGTGCTTGACAGCATGAAAAGGTTTTTGGACAGCAAGGAAACTTCCTCTACAAACATTTCGCTTGATTTATAAGATTGTCTAAATGAACGATCAAACTCTACCAAGTCTAAAAGGATGGTAGAATGGTATTTGATGTCAAGTTTTATTATTTATTACACATGAAATCGGGGGGAATATTGTCGTCACCCATATCCGTCAGTCGGTCCGTCCACAATTGCTCGTAAACACTCTACAAGACACTATTCTTGACAGATTTTGACAAAACTTTAATTTTTAGCTCGTAAACACTCTAGAAGGGACAATTCTTGACAGATTTTAACGAAACTTGGCATGAGTGTTGGTAATCAACCAAGGATGAACCCTATTGAAAATCAGAAGAATCAAAAAATATTTAGTATGAGTTATTGCCCTTGTTCTTGAAAACGCGTTCAATTTTTAGCTCGTAAACACTCTAGAATTATTGGATAAAAATGTCAATGATAATTGCTCAAACTCCTAACTTATTTCGGTTCCGACATTCAAAAATCATTAGGTTCTCTTCCTGCATTTCTATGGGCAAAATACCCCGGAGAAAAACATCTTCCCGGTCATAATTATACTGGTCCAGGTATGTGAGAGAGACTTATTAACCAAGACTATAATTATTCCCCTTTTACGAACTCTTTAGTTATGAAGATAGATTCTTTCTGTTGTTTTATGTATGACGTTGTAAATTCCATTCGAAGAAATCCATAATAAATCCATAATATCCATTTATATAGTCTTCTTACAATGAACCATCGATCAGGTGCTACTGGCATATGTAGTAACCGCCATAGGAGGTCAAAATATCCTACATGGTCCAAGTGAGACGGAATTTATCGGAAAGTTCATCATAAAGGTGTGTGAAAATTCTGACTTTTTTGGCGGTAAAAAAGCCTGCACTGCACTTCAGTGAACATTTGCAAGTTTTCTGAACATATTAATCATGTCAAAAGAAGAAATAAGTCGTAAAAAGCGAGTTAGAGGTGGACATAGAACTTCAGTCAAGCGCCTTATATCCATGGCGGACGAATATCCCAAAATACCAGATTTTGTGCCAAAGTTTGAGGCTACAGTATCAACCCTTCAAGAAAAGGAAGTTATCCTCTGTGACATTAATAATGATCTGCTTGCCCTCGTCAACGAAGATGAAATAGAGGACGAAATTGGACAAGCAGATGAGTATTCAGAATTAATTCGCACAGCCATTGCCAATATTAAAATGTCCATAGCTAAATTAACTATTTCAACCCAAATTACTCAACAAATACAACACAATCATCATGATACAAGCCAGGTTCACACCACATATGATAACCATTCTAATCATTCCAATTCAAGGAGCAAATTGACCTGTTGATGAAATTAATAGGCCCAGATCCAGAACTACATCACACCTTAAACTACCTAAACTCACCATGAAGGAATTTGATGGTAAATTAGATCAATGGTCATCCTTCTGGGATTCATTTGAAGCCACAATCCATAAACATCCTCATTTACCAGACATTGATAAGTTCAATTACCTAAACAGTTTATTAAAAGGGGATGCTGCTCAATCCATTAATGGTCTGTCCTTAACATCAGAAAATTATCATGAAGCTATTGAAATCCTCTGCAAAAGATTTGGTAATAAACAGGCGATCATTACAGAACACATGGAAACTCTGATGAATATTGAGGTCAAAGATGGTGGTAAATATTAGAAAGCTGTATGATTCAGTTGAGGCACAGATTAGAGCATTAAAGTCATTAGGGGTTCCATCATCATCATATGGCTGTATGTTAACATCAATAATTCTCAGTAAACTGCCAGCTGAGATTCTCTTACTATGAGTAGAGAGCTAAAGGGTGATGACTGGCAATTTGACAAATTAATGGAACTTTTGTGTCAAGAAGTTGAAGCCCATGAAAGAGCCTCCATTCATCATCACAAATCACATTCAACCAATGTCAGTTCATCAAGAAGTCCACAATCCTATAAATATGGTAAAATGGGTACAGCCACAGCTTTATTGACGACAGATTTCAATCAAGGTACTTCGAAGCCCACTTGTACTTATTGTCGACAACCACATGCTTCAAATTCCTGTAGGAATGTTACTAGCATTGAAGCTAGAAAAGATATCCTGAGAAAATTAAGAAAATGCTTTATTTGTCTTGAAAGGACCATTTCGGTAGAAACTGTGATGCCAAGACTTGCTATAGGTGTAGTGGTAGACATCACATAAGCCTCTGTCCCCAGATTCACTCATATGGTTCACAATCTCAACAAGGAAACACCCAGTCATGGAATAGTAATCAACAGTATAATGGTGCCAATTTTAAATACCAAAGTAATCCTTATTCCAATCAACATATTCAACAAGCCCATAATGGATTAAACCATGAACCTCAGAACAATAATCAATTAAGGGGAGACAACCAAAATTATCAATCGGCTCAAAATAACTATCTCAAGATTCATCAAAAAATGGTGCAACTGTGCTGTATGTGGAATCAACAACACCTGTTTTACTTCAGACCGCTGAAAGTGTTATATTTTCTCCAAATCAGAGTTATAAGAAGGTTAAAATTAGACTTATTTTGGATTGTGGGAGCCAAAGAACTTATCTTTCCACTAGAGTTCGAGAATTCCTCCAACTACCCACAGTTGACCAGAAAGACATTATAATTAAAACATTTGGATCCACAGAAGAGTCAACCAAAACTGTAGATGTTGTTTATGTTAATATGCACTCCTCTTGTGGTGACATTCAATTAAGTGCCTTTGTCTTCCCTTTGATCTGTGACCCCTTGACATCTCAACCCATATCTCAAGCTAAGAGATATTTTCCACACCTCTCAGAATTTGAGTTTGCAGATAGTTCAAATATGGAATCTGGTGTAGAGATAGACATGCTTATCGGTGCAGATCAATATTGGAGTCTAATAACTGGAGATATAATACGGGGGGAGAATGGACCTTCAGCAATATATACCAAGTTAGGTTGGGTACTCTCAGGCCCTTTACACACGGCAGATATAGATCCACATCAAAATACAAACTTAATCACAACCCATGTGTTGAAGTGTGAAACCAAATTAAGTGAGGAGGTTAATCCTATAATCCACAATTCTGAACTTGAAAATTGCCCCCATCTCATCAAAATACCCTATATTGCTGAACTCTAATAATTATGTAACTAGTTTGATCGTTAAGGATTGTCATATTCGTGTCATGCATGGTGGTGTTAAGTCAACTTTGACTGAATTAAGATCCAAGTTTTGGTTAATCCGAGGACGCCAATTTGTTAGAAAATTGATTCATCAATGTATTATTTGTCGTAAGTTTGAAGGAAAACCTTATCCAGTGTTAACCGCACCTCCACTTCCTTCATTTAGAGTTAATGAATCGCCACCTTTCTCGTATACAGGTGTCGATTTTGCGGGACCTTTGTTTGTGAAGAACAACAATCGAGATTCTACGAAAGTCTGGATAGCCATGTTCACGTGTTGTTCTACGCGAGCTGTTCATCTCGATGTGATGCCGGACTTAACCACAGATACTTTCTTAAGATGTTTCAAACGATTTGTGGCGCGATTCGGTTTTCCAGTACAAATCATATCGGACAATGCAAAGACATTTGTATCGGCTTCTGAATACCTTAGATTATTCTCAGATAACTCTCCTGTAAGACATTATTGTGTGAATCATCGTATAGACTGGTCATTCAATTTGGAAAAACCACCCTGGTGGGGTGGCATCTTTGAAAGACTCATTAAATCAACAAAAAGGTGTTTAAAGAAAACCATCGGAAATGCCAAGTTATCCTATGATGAACTCCTAACCGTAGTAGTTGAAATAGAGACAATTCTAAATTGTAGACCCCTTTCATGTGTCATCCGAAGACTGCGAGGAACCATTAACTCCATCTCATTTGTTGTATGGACGTCGTTTGTTAGGCCTTCCAGATAGTGAACGTTCAGATTTCAATGAAGATTATAACCCAGAGCGCCCTAGCAATTTGAGAAAGAGACATTTTCATATGAACATTGTGTTGCGTCATTTTTGGTCTCGGTGGAAGGTAGAATATCTCTTGGAATTGCGTAATAGTCACAGAACAAGCTCGAGTCAAACTTCAAACACCATCTCAATTGGAGATATCGTCATTGTCAATGATGAACACCAACCACGTAGTTTGTGGAAGCTAGGCAAAGTCGAGAAACTGATTACTGGAACCGATGGATTGTCGAGAGGTGCGGTTGTAAGAGTTAGCGGTCATGGAAAGTCATTTACTCTTCGTCGTCCTATCCAACTATTATATCCATTAGAAGTCAATCATCAATCAAACACGGTAGAGGATCTTGAAAGGCCACGTCCAATTGAACCACAAGCAATTGTGCCAGATCCAGTGGAACCTATGCCAGGTCAACGTCCACGTCATTTGGCAGCAATCCAATCTGATGCTAAGCGAAAGGAATGGATAAACCGATTAACCAATTGTGATGGACAATTTGACAGTCATTGATTTATCGATCCTCTATCAGTTGAATATAGTAATCTAGCTCATTCTATACCTATAAGTGTTTATTGTGATATCCATTTTCATGTAGGACATTCGAATGGCTATCAGGGGAGTGTGAGAGAGACTTATCAACCAAGACTATAATTATTCCCCTTTTACGAACTCTATAGTTATGAAGATAGATTCTTTCTGTTGTTTTATGTATGACGTTGTAAATTCCATTCGAAGAAATCCATAATAAATCCATAATATCCATTTATACAGTCTTCTTACAATGAACCATCGCATCAGGTGCTACTGGCATATGTAGTAACCGCCATAGGAGGTCAAAATATCCTACAAGGTACAAGGTTAGATCTGCGATTAGACCAAAATGATAAACCAAAACCAGGTGAAGAACCAGTCAATAGAGTTGACACAGCTGCACTTAAACACGACATACTATACAGAAATAAAGACAGAACATCCGGACACGAATCAGACAAACAAATGATAATCGAACTTGAAAATATTCCAAATCCAACTTTTAAAGAGAGAATTCAAAGGGCTCTGATCATAAAACTGTTAAAAGCAAAGATGAAATTGGGTATGGGATTGGCGGATGAAATTCATAAAGAATTTAGAAAAAAGAAACATTTTTTAAAAGTCAAAGTGTTTGATGAAATATGGTCATAATGGCGAATAAATTTGGATTAGGTTCTTTACCTTTAGATACTAAAAAACCTAACACAACAGCATGGATAAATAAAGCAAAACCTTACTTTGTGGATCAAATTGGAGACAAACTTCAAGGTGATTTAGATATGAATAATTTTACCATAACTAATTTAAAGTTACCAGAAAATGATTATGATGCTGTTCACAAGAAATATTTAATGGATCAATTAAATTTGATTAAAGTAAATAAAGAACATTTAAAAGAAAGAACAGGCGATGTGAAAGGTACTTCAAACGACAAATAAATAATAAATATTTTATTGATGATAATAAGTTACAACAAGAAGTAACAAGTTTGAAAAGTTTTATTGAAGAACAATGACTTAATGTAGTAGATAAAACTCAATTACAACCTTTAAGTTCATTAATATCTAATTGAGATGATAAGATTACAAAACAAAAAATAGATCTTAAACAACTAATAGCCAATATTAATCCAGGTATAAGTGAAGATAAATTAACAACATTAGAAACTAAACTTATTGATAATAGTGAAATACAAAAACAAATAGTTGGTATTAAACAACAATTACTTAATGTAGTAGATAAAACTCAATTAGAACATTTAAAATTATTAATATCTAAATTATATGATAAGATAACAAAACAAAAAATAGACCTTAATAGATAATGTTAAACCAGGTATAAGTGAAGAAAAATTAACTGAATTAGAAACCAAACTCAATGATAATAGTGAAATAGTCGCCATTCAACAACAATTACTCAATTTAGTAGATAAAACTCAATTAGAAAATTTAAAATCATTAATATCTAAATTAGATGATAAGATAACAAAACAAAAAATAGATCTTAAACAGCTAATAGATAATATTATTCCAGGTATGAATGAAGATGAATTAGCCGCATTAGAAAGCAAACTCAATGATAATAGTGAGATAGTATGAAGGGTTTCTGGGTCAAAATAAGATGCTCTGTTAAATTGTCTAATACTTATTATGTTACCGTCAACTTTGTCATATTGCTTTAGTAAATTGTGATAAAGCAAATGTGTTTTGTCATTTCCTCACTAATTATACGTTTACATATCATCTTGTTATTATCAGTTAAACGTATCATTTTGGTATTATCATTTTAAACATATCATTTTGGTATTATCATTTTCTACATATCTTTTTAAACATATCATTTTCGACATATCATTTTTGTATTATCATTTTAATCATATCATTTTCGAGATATCATTTTGGTATTATCATTTTCGACATATCATTTTGGTGTTATCATTTTCTGCATATCATTTTAAACATATCATTTTCGACATATCATTTTTGGTATTATCATTTTAAACATATCATTTTCGACATATCATTTTCAACATTTCTCTTAGCAATATGCAAATGAGGTCAAAAAGTTTTCACACACGCTATTTTTTGACCTTGACCTTTGTTGACCTCGACCTTTGTAGGATCAAACGTCATTGGCTATCTATTTTTACTTTTATATTTGCTGTCCTATGTCAACTTCCGGTTTTATAGTTGTGTGCAATTTGAAATTTTGATGACATATATCTCTTGATCTTGACCTTTTTAGACCTTCTCCTTTACAAGATCAAAGGTCATTGACCTTGGCTATCTGCTGATACTTTCATTTGTGAGGTCTGACGTCTACTTCTGGTATTAGAATCTTCTAAAAAATGAAAATTTCTCAACTTTAGACTATTCTTGCACTTGACCTAATAATCGTCGAAGGTTGATTTTTTTCAGGGTCTTTTGCAATTTGCTACAATTGCAGGTCCCACTCTGTGCCACGTGTGGCTCTAGTTTTATTATTGTTAAAAGAATAGGTTTTATTTTGTTTTGAAAATTTGATTGTGTAAAGCAGATCATTGGAATTTCATATTAAATGCCTGGTATTGTTAAAGTCCAGTCAAAGCTAGTACCCACAATGTAGGCCTTTAGAATTATTGTTGTATAATTATGAGTTTTTCAATTTCAGTTGGAAGCTAGTAATACATGGAGGGATAGATGGTTTCTCAAGGTTGCCAGTTTATCTAAATATCAGCAATAACAACAAATCTGATACTGTATTAGAGACTTTTCGTCATGCTGTGGAAGAATATGGAATACCACAGAACGTAGGTGTGGAGCAGTTCATGTTAGATGCAAGAGGGGTAAATGGTGATAGCCATATTTGTGGCAGAAGTGTTCATAATCAGATTTCGGGGAAGGGAGGGTTTGATTCTCCCAAATGTACAGGCCTAGGGTGGAGTAGACACTTTATTTAGAAATTAGGATTAAGGGTCTTGATATTGGGTTTTCTTCTGTTCTTATTCTGATCTGAAATTAGAAAAAATAACTCGCCCAATGGGCGAGAAGTATAGTATCTGTTATGTACTGATTGTTTTTAGTTTACTATGAACAATATTATCATTTAAGTTCTTATTTTTTGAATATGCAACTATCATTTTCTGCTTATAGACATGGGGGAATTTCTCTTGAAGGCTCTTATAGTGGGCATGAACTATCTTGCTTGCTCGATTGCTGGTTGTATTAAACGGGACAACAAAGGGTGCTATGCCTACATTATGATGAATATTTAGTCCTATAGGTCTTGATGTATTCAATGTCTCAATCCAATGGGCCTCCCTAGATTGACGGAATTTGGTAGTTTCATCTTCGGGCAAGTCAATTTCTATACGCTCAATTGGGATTAGGGTGAGATCGTCTATTGAATGGTCGTCGAGGTTGAAATGATTAGAAACAGGCTTGTCTTTCTTTAATTTGATGTCTGACCTATGAGCATTAAAGCGAGTTCGTAAATTATTCTTAGTTTCTCCTACATATTGTTTGGGACATTTCTTGCATGAAATTAAATATATTACATTCGAATGTTCACATGTTAGATGTTCCTGGATCGGGTACCTTTTATTCGTAGAGTTGCTTACCAAATAATGAGTTTCTGATATAAAGGGACATGTTTTGCATCTACTGGACAAACATGGAGCACTTCTTAAACCTGGAGGTACTTCGGCATAAAGTCTGTTTTTAGCTGCTATCTGTGCTAAGGTGGAATTTGTTATGTTTCGTAAAAATCGTTTAGAGTACCCACGCTCTTTCAGTTTTGAGAAAACAATCGTACAGGCTTGGTTGAAATCAGAAGATCTTGTACAAATTCGATGAAATCGTAAAACTTGTGACTTAATTATACCAGAAAAGGTATGTTTTGGGTGAAAGGAGCTCTTGTGCAAGAGTTGATGAGTATCAGTTTCTTTGAAATACACTTTAATATCCAGTTTATTTGTTTCTGCTATGGAATCTCCCTTAAAGACTGTGGTATCGAGAAAGTCTATGCTTTTGTCACTCACGTTTGCGGTTAGTTTGATAGAAGGATGGTGGTTGTTGAGAATTTCAAAGAATTCCCAAAACTGTTCGATAGAATAAGTCCAAACCATAAAAATGTCATCCAAAAAGCGTCCGTAAAAAAGTGGGTCAAATGGACAGAGGGGCAACACCTCACGTTCCCACTCTGCCATGAAAAGGTTTGCGTACGAAGGGGCGAATCGTTTGCCCATTGCTGTCCCTGAAGTTTGTAAATATGTTTTACCATTAAATGTGAAATCGTTTCGACTAAGACAAATCTCTAAAAGCTGTAGAATTGCATCATCGGGTCTGCCGTTAAACCAGTAGTGTTATCGATATTGGTATACATAGAAGAAATGTCGATAGAAATTAAAATAGCATTAGAGGGAACTCGAAGATTTTTTATTTTATTGACAAAATCGGTTGTGTCTTTAAGGTAGGCGCGATGTTGGCATGCTAGAGGTAGTAAGAAATGATCAATGTATTCTGACACTGCATATGACTCACTACCACAGTCAGATATAATCGGGCGGCCTTTAGGGATTTTATTCCAGATAAACCACTCCTTGGTTGGATTCTTATGGATTTTAGGCAAAGTGTACAAATGTCTCTCGCGACAATCAGGTTTGGCAGACAGATAGTCATATTGTTTCTGTTTGAGATAACTAGTTTTGACTAAATCGGCAAGAATATTATTAATCATGTTAGCAGTTTCTTTGAAAATTGGTTTCGGTAAAATGGCATAATGTTTAGGATTATTCAGTTGATTCTCTGCTTCTGAAACGTAATCCTCCCTATTCAGAATGACACAACATGAACCTTTGTCACTCTTTTTAATAACAATGCTATCGTCTTTCTTAAGTAAGTTTAACGCTTCACCTTCCACTCGTGTGAGATTAGGCTTTTCGTGTGTTATGGAAAGGTTCACTGTTTGGCTATTCATACTCGCAAATGCTTTCAATATTTCAGGATGGATGGAGGCCTGAGGGGGTGTCCACGTGGATTTAGGAATATACATTGTTCTAGCACCACGTGGGGGGTGGTTTCGAAAAAAATATGTGCAGCTAAGATTTCGTTGAAATCGTTCAATGGATGGTCGGAGATAATTCAAGTTAGCTATCTTTGGTGTGGGAATAAACTTAAAAGATTGAATGCTGAAGGGGTACAGTTTGGCCTAGCTGTGGCCTCTCAGTATTTTTATCCCCAGTAATTAGTTTAAAGACTTACTCGATGCTTGAAGCTGGTGTATCCAAAACAAATAGATGCTGTTTGCTGTTTCTGGAGACCAATGAAGATTATCAACTGGTTCGAATTCTTCTTCGTAGGGTGGTAAGATTGTTGCGCTGTTGATACTGGACTCCATCATCATGTTGTTGAGAGTGCTGAGGTTCTGTTGTGCTTTCTTCAAGATTTTATTTGAAATGGGTATACATGTGAAGAGGATCTTGGAGTTTGGGAAGGTTTTGTTGGCTGTGGCGATTAATTTCTGGGCTTGGTTAAAGGAGGTCTTTGGTAGCTGATCACGGTTGTTGAGGCCTACATGAAGAATAATGGTAGTAGGTTTGGGATCATGGTCGTATGTTTCCAGGATTGACTGTATGTGATGGATTTGGGCACCGGGGTAAGAATGTATTTCGGTGTCTGAACTGGTTTTGGTAATTCGATTCAGGTTAGATGATCCAATTATTAAGGTAGATTTCTTTAGAGCAGGTAGCTTCCATAATGATTTGTCCTTGGTTTGGTGATAATATGGTTTGGTAGCGGACGGTGTGATTGGTACTGGTTTGGTAGTTGTTAGAATTGTAGCATTGGGAACGGACTGGGATCTGGTTCGAGGGGGGGAAGGTCTGGATACACGTCTCGACTTGGATGGAGACTGAGAGGTGGTTTGCTGGTCCAGAAACGCACAGAAGGAAGAAAGGTTGGCGGATCCTGGATCACGTGGTGAAGATTCAGATGGTGTGGAAGGGGAAGACGAGTCTGAAAGTTAAAAGAGAAGGGGTGTGCCCTCTCTACGAGAGCGTTTACCTATGTCTGCTGGACTAGGAGTAGGTGAACTTCGGGCTCGTTTAGGTGTTTGGTTCGGCAGTGTGGTTGCTCTAGATGGTGCAGGTGTAGTGTCCATTTCAGTTGGTAGAGATATGGTTACTCTGGCTTTTGCTTCGTTGATTGTTTGGTAGAATTTGGAGATTACAGCTTGAGTGAGACGTTTCCCATAGGAGCGACGGGCCCAGGACAGGGCATGAGAAACGCTGCGGTCGACGGCAGGTGATGATAAAGACTTGGTACGAATGGTGGTCAGCTTCTCCTGAAGTGTGGTTTGGTAATGGTCTATCAGGACCTGCGTAACCTTACAGAGCCATGTCCGATTGAGGGATCTAATATTCGCGTCGACAGCTGATGTTTTCATTGCTGGACGGATAAAACTATCCAAATTTGAGACTTTGCGTTTGAAGGTAAACGCTGGTTGGCCTTGCTGTTGAAGGGTAAGGATTGCCTTGATGGAGGCACTGCAAAACTTGGAAGAACACCTTCACAAAGGGTTCTTCCTCCTTATGAGTGGGGACTGGTTGGCGTCGGTGGTCTGGTAGTCTTTTCTGTTGTTGGTCAGGTCGATGGTTACCTCTTGATTGGTAGGCTGTGTTGTAGGTAGGTCGGCGATGGGGTGGGATATAGCTGGATGGGTTGGTTGGTGGTCGGCGATTGGTAGGTGGTAGAGGTCGATGGAAGACAGGGCCGTTGTAGGGTACGTGATATTGGTTTTGTTGACGATTAGTGTTTCTATGTCTGGCTTCTTGCCAGTGGTTGTTGTGGTTGGGGAGCATAATGAAAATAACTTGGGGTTAGAAGGGAATGTACAGCGGATGTAACAGGAGGAAACTGTATATGCTAGCGTGAAAATGTTGGGATCAAATTATGCAAATAAGTCAAACTGGGTTTGGGGATATATAAAGTAAGATGAAAGTTATGATGAAAAATGCAAAAATATATATTTAGGTGATAAATAACGCTAACAATGATGTGAAAAATTATAACAAGTAAAACAAAAACTCTCTCTTGTGTAAAATGATAGCCTGTGCACAAGTAGCTCTGTTGTTGTCATCCAACTGGTCTGAAAAAAAAAATCTGTGAAGGTAATCAGTAAATGAGGAAAACTTTCACAAAGTGATAATTCACAAAGTGAAACACAAAGTGATAATTCACAAAGTGAAACACAAAGTGATAATTCAAGAAAAGATAACATAATTAATCTATTCAAAGAATACAGCGTGAGCACAAAAGACAAAACAGAAGTTAATTCAAAACTTAAAAAAATAAACTGAAATAAACTAATGGCATTTGATGCTAATGGTTTGTACGCCTCAGCAATGTCAGATTTAGACAGTGAATATCCAAAAGCGGAAAGTGCTAGACCGTTCCTACCAGGAGAAGAAAGAAAATTTTTAAAACTCTTCAATGAACAGAAATTTAGACCTAGAACAGCTATTTTAACAGTATGGTTTAAATATCCCTATAACATGTTCTTCCAACCAATACCAGCTAAAGATAATATCACTTTCACAAATAAAGAAGGAAAAAAGGAAACTGGGAGTAAAATCAGGTTTAGAAATGGTTTCTGTTCAGATGTTTTCACATCGGTCGATATTCAAGAAATAGTTAAAGCCGGTGGACAAATTATGAGAATATTAGATGGTATAGTATATGAAGAAAATTTTAAAACTCCATCCTATAGAAATTATATTTTGATTTTAAGAGATCTTATAAATAAATATAAACGAGAAGGTAATATCGTAGGTAGTAATTGCATGAAATTATTGGGCAATTCCTTGTATGGTAAATCTATTCAGAAGGATAGAAACACAAGAAATCATTTGTGGAATGAAGTAACTTTTCAGGCTAACTTCGACTCACATGTTAAAAACTATGAAAAAATAAATGATACTCGTTGAGACAGAAATTGAAGAAAAAGAGATAACTGCTGAAGATCACTCAACTAAATCTACAGGACTAACACCTAGTCATTAGGGATCATTCGTTTTACCTCACAGTAAAAAAATAATGAATAATTTCATTCATGTAATAAATGGATTTTATAAACCTGAAATATACTATACCGATACTGATAGTTTATACATTTCATCTAGAAATTGGGATAAATTAAATCGAGCTGGGTTGGTATCTGAAAATGAATATTGTAAAGACAAGAATGATTATGGTGATGGTGGAATCATATTTGGTTTATATTTAGTGCCAAAAGTCAAATATAATATCATTCTAACTTCTGATGGTGTTTTAAAAGAAAAGTAAACGTTTAAGGGTTATTCTAATAATAAGACAAGTGTAGAAGATTATATTCAGTTGGCTAGTGGACATGATGTGTCGAATGAATTTAATAAAAGATGGGAAAGGAGTTTCACGAATGGAGTAGTTATTCCAAAGGATGATGATAAACAAAAGAAAATTTTTAGAAGTTATTTGAATCTTGTAAAGAGAAAACCACCAAATAGTGAAGGAATTATGTTTCCTTATAGTGAAAAAGGTGAGTATAGTTTTGATGAAAACTATGAATTTGATGATTTCGATTACCTATATATTTATGAAGAGAATGAAGAGTGATTAATAACTCAATAAATTCATTTCTTTTGTTTTAAATTAAGTTGAATAACAATTTCCTCGTTATCAAAATCAATAAACCTATTTTTACCATCTTTGATTTCCAGATTATATTTTTAATCATGAACGAATTAAGTGGTAAATATGTTGTTTGAAATGGTTTCTCTATAATTCTATATCCAATCGGTACAGTGTTTATGTTTATTGAAAAATCCACCATTTATTATATTACAGTGAATATTAATGATGTCGATATCATTCTCGATATTAGCTTTATGCGGCGTTAAAGTGGATTGTGTGTATATTTGCTTATCAAATCCTAATAGAGTATTCAAAGAATTTTCTACATTGAAATCAACTTGACTATTATTTCTCAATATCAATTTTATTTTGTTCAGATTCAAATTACCTTCGAATTCAATATTGTTTTTACCGCTCACGCTTCCTTGCGTATTCAGATAGATATTCGTTTATGGCTACGTATTCATAGCTTCCTGGTAGTAAACTTATGGTTTTGAATGTAGCTCCGTTATCTGTTGATATTTTCATTTGGTTATTATTTTCGTTGATAATTCTAATGGAATTGTAAACAGAGAAATATTTTAATCCCAATTCATATTCTTCATTGCGATCGAGTTCGTACTCATAATCTAGAGACAATTTAATGTTATTTGAGGTGATGACGAATAATTGTTCTTTATTTGGCATTTTTTCAATGACTATTTTTATTGGATAATTTTATCATTTACGCTTTTATAATCATTTTTATCTATAATACCTTTCTCTAGGAATCTTTTTAATATGCAATTTACTTCATTATATTGTCTGTCTGAACGATGACCTTCTTTCATTGCTGCTAATATTATTTCTAATCTATTAAGTAGTTCCTCGTTGTTGTCGGATATGAATGTTATACCTTGTCCACAGTTTTCTCTAGCTATCTCCTCTTCCAATTCGTCTATTTGTTGTGTGATTGGATTGTCTATATCTTGTATGATTGGATTGTCTTCAGCATATTCATCATCTTGATTAATAGCTTTTACATATAGATCAACTTCTTTTAATCTTCTTGTTTCGGGCCCCGTCTTTCTTATCATATGTAGAAATTCTGAGTATTCTACTAAATCCTTGTTATCAGCAATATCAACATCCCCGCCATTCATTAAATCTATTAATCCTCCTTATAATGTAAATATAAAGTCTTTTGTATCGATTTTGAATATTGGTGAATTTGCACTAAATCTTATTCTAAATCCATTAAACAATAACCCTTCATTATCAACAATTGGTGTAATACTCTTTGGTAAATCTGGGTTTGGATTTGAAAAATAACGTTTTATATCCTCTAATGTCCTAATTATAAAACCACCATATTCAATAGGTTCGGAGTGATCTTTATGAGGTGAAGCTTCTATGGGAGTCACGTCTCTTTGTAATATCTTCTTGACTTTTTAATATTGGTTGAAATAGAGTTTGTAGATTTTCTGTTAATCCAAGTTGTTGTAATCTGTTATTTTCAACTTGGGTCTTTATTTTATTCTTAGCTTTGATATATTGTCTATTTCTTTTTATAATATTATTCCAATCACTACTCATTTTTCAAAAAATAAAATTAACATATATCTGTCATAACTCTTTCACCTGCAGGTTTTTCTACATATCCATTAACATCTGGGTTTCTCCATTGTGCTTTACAATCCTTTTGAAATGTATCTCTATTTATTCCTTGATTAATTGACTGAATAATTTGAGATAAATTTTTGTCGTTCAATTCGAATAATAAAAAACAATTTGCATGTTTTCGAATGAACATTGCATCCATACCGTAGAAAGATTGGGATTGGTAAATACAGTAACAGTTGTGATGCCTTCCCTTCGTGAAGAATTCTTGTTGAACGGCTTGATTTCTTTATGCTACACAGTCGTCAAACACAATTAAGTTCTTTCGCTCACTATCAATTTTAGACAAATCTAAATCATTAACATTTTTCGTAAGAAAAACTTTTATGTCCGTTGAATTGAAAGATGGATTCTTTTCTTTTATATATGTATCTAAGATATCTTTTATTTCTATCTCATCGTTGTCTTCATAATATTTAAATATGTCTTGAACGTCTTTCTTTGGTATATATTCTAAAGCTTTGAGGAATTGATAATACGATTGCTCTGGTGTTGTTGTGTAGATATATAATGAATCGAAATCTAAAAGTTTTGGTGTTGTCAACATGTTAAAGGTCAAATAAGTTTTCCCAGAACCTGAGCTTCCACAAATACACATGAGCATTGAGTTACTAGGAAATATTTCTGAATGATGAAATTTTCTGCCCATTTTTTATTCTATATTTTTGTTCCAAAAATCACTCCTTCTCCTTTATACTTTGAAAGAAAGATTCCCTCTCCAGAACGTATGTTTTTAAAAACTATAGAATTCCCCTTATGTTTGACCTTCATTTCTCCGGTGTCGATTTTATCTATTAGATTGCTTAAGCCCTCTTTAACAGTTTTCTTGGTTTCTTCACTAAATCGATTTCCAAATTCTTTAACTGTCCCTAATATATCTGCTACTCCTGAACCTTGTGCTATCTTTTCCATTTCCATATTATGTCTACGTTTTTCACTTTTTTCAGCATCAGCTGCTTTCTTGGCGTTGATGGCTTGCGCTATCAAAGCAGCCCCACCAGCAGTTGCTCCTGCTGCGGCCAGGCCAGCAAATATTAAAGGTAGGAAAGGTAAAAATCCACCTTCCTTTACACTCTTGTCAATTCTTTCCAAATCTATATCATCACGGACTTTACAATGTTTATATTTATCAATAATTTTTTTAGATATTTTAATCTTTTTACCATTGTATGTTATTGTAGTTGGTGATTCCGTTTCGAAAGCTTCTATTATTCTTTTTACTAAAGTTTCTGGTTTCATTTTTAAGAGGGTAATTTGAATGATTATTCTATACGAATCATCCTTCTGTCGGATATTTTAATTAAATAAATTTTGATTAATTGCAAAATCTACGTATTCAAACTGAGGTGAATTTCCAAATAATTCACACATATTTTTATAGTTTCTATATAAATCATTATAATCCTTTGTGGTTGGATTAATTGTTAAAGGTTGGTTAGGATAATTATCGTTGTTTAATCTTACTTGAACTTTACGGATTATAGGATCTTGAATTTGGTTCATTGCTACTCTAAAGATATTATTGTTATTCGTTTGAGAATCTGTTAAGTTCTTGAAACCAACCATTAAATATCTTGCTGGTTTAATAGTGTTAGTGATTGGCCATGTAGTGGATTCTCCAGTTAAAGTTATGCTGCCTATTGTATTACGACGAAGAAATGCTATTTCAATATCTTTAGGGATGAGTTGAATATTCTCGTTTCTACTTCAATTGATGTTGTTATAACGATATTCGATATATCTAATTTTGCATCTGAAGCATTCTCTCCAAAGAATATCTTATCATCAGTGATTTCTCTTTGTAGATGAATTTTATATGGTAACCCTATGGAAACTTTTCTGTGTTCCAACAGACCGAATAATAGATATAATTTCCAATTTACGTAATTACCCCACCTATTATTCTCAACAACATTATTATACTGAAGTACTCGTTTTTCGAATCCATGATTAGCTGCTCGTGCTACTCTTTCTATTGTGTTTTTAGCAACAACTCACACTCTAGTTAAATCAGCATCATTTGCAAGATTTCTTACCGGTTCTTTTAAAACACTTCCATCGCCAACATCGGGTATCCAGCCTGAGACTGAATCGTAGTTTTTGGGATATAGAACTGTTTTCAACATTGTGTCAAATTCCCCAGGGTGTTTGATGGTTTCTATGGGATTTGAACCAGCTTCCAAAACCATTTCAGTAAATAAAGATGGAAAGAAATTGTTTTCTAACGTTGTATTGGTTTGTGGTACACGAAATCGCATCTGAAATAAGCATCGGAAAGAAGCAACCAATTCGATAATGAATTAATCTCGAAAGCGACCCTACCCCATCATTTAGTTGAGACCTAGAGCCAACGGTTGGTGATATGATAATGTAATCCTCTTTTTTCTTATTAAACGAATAACAAATTGGATCATATAATTGAAAGATCGGATCTAATCTGTAATTTTTTTCTGCCATTTTTAAAGATAGGTTTTACCCTATTATTTGAAACCAATTTACCCCCATGGAAATCCAAGTAAGTTTTAATAAATACAACGAAATTTAAAACATTATCAATTACATTGATATACACTTCTACTAGATATGCTTCAGAGTTTTCTCCCCTCTTACACTATTGCCAGTCATAGTTCAAGGGTTAAGGGGTTACGACCGCTCCTGGTAGAATCGCTAGATATACTTCAGAGATATCTCCCCTCTTACACTATTGCCAGTCATAGTTCAAGGGTTAAGGGGTTACGACCGCTCCTGGTAGAATCGCTAGATATACTTCAGAGTTATCCCCCCTCTTACACTATTACCAGTCATAGTTCAAGGGTTAAGGGTCACGACAGCTCCTAGTAGAATCGCTAGATATACGTCACATATTTTATCCTTTTCCAAAACGCTTGTTCTTCAGCACTTGTTCTATTTTTCAAAATCTGTATCAACAATTTTAAAACCTCGAAATTTGTCACAAAGTTTGGTAGTATCCCCCACTGCCTGCGATGGTTTAAATATTCTTCGTGATATGAAATGTTGACATCTATTAAACTTCTGTCTGGAATAGAACAAAATGGATATTTTGAAAAACAACAAATAACATATCATCTTAATTCCACCCTCTCGTCTTATGATTAAATCAAAGAAAGAACATACTTTGATTTTGTATGATTAAATTGCTAATCTTCCAGCGTAACAAAAATTGAAACACTACTTACAGTTGAGAGTCTAGACTGTGCTGACGATGCACGTGTGATATGTTAATTATAGCGTGATATATATCGAGTCAACAATAGAGGAGTGATTGTTACTAGGCGTTAAAGGTATTTATTAAATCAATAATACTCTAGACAACTAACTGTGTATAAACTGGTTGGTATTTTACTTTGAAGTAAACAAAAAACAGTGTTACCTCCCATTAATCAGTTAAGTTTCTAAATTGTTTGTGTATTTCATCTGCTATTCCCATACCCATTTTCATCTTTGCTTTCAAGAGTTTAATGATTAATGCTTTTTGAATTCTCTCTTTGAAAGTTGGATTTGGAATATTTTCAAGTTCGATTATCATTTGTTTGTCTGCTTCGTGTCTTTATTTCTGTATAGTATGTCGTGTTTAAGTGCAGCGGCGTCAACTCTATTGACTGGTTTTTCACCTGGTTTTGGTTTATCATTTTGGTCTAATCGCAGATCTAACCTTGTACCTGGACCAGTATAATTATGACCGGGAAGATGTTTTTCTCCGGGGTATTTTGCCCATGGAAATCAAGTAAGAGAACCTAATGATTTTTGAATGTCGGAACCGAAATAAGTTTTAGGAGTTTGAGCAATTATCATTGACATTTTTATCCAATAATTTTAAGACCTTTTCCTCTTCTTTCTTGTTGTTCTATTCTCCTGTTTCGTAGTTCTCTTATATGTTGTAATTCTTTCAACTCGTTAGATCTTTTCACTGTTTTTCGCTTATATTTACTTTTGCTACAGATCCAAGAGCTTGCGCCCTGAGCAAATGAGGGATTTGTTGTTCGAGACAAAGTTGGCTACTTTGGGGATGAGAGATGATAGAGCTGAGAAGAATCCCTCTCCTTCGAATTTGTGTTGATCGTCTTTTAAAATTAAACTCATTCTGTTTTTAAATGAGTTAATTTAAAGATATTATTGGCCTGGGGCGCTTGGGGGTTGGTAAACTTGTACCCCGGATTTATTAACTGAATGCCTGGTGGGGTTGTTTGTTTGGTGGGCTTGCGGGCGCTGCGGGCAAAAGAGTAGTATAAGAGTATATAGATAGGA